ATGCAAGCGTGGGCATTTCCACTCCGGTTATCATATTCACTGCGTGTAGACTGCATATTCAGGCCGGCATTACACAAGAGGCGATATACAGCAAGTGACAATGCGGGAAAAAGAAATATACCCAGAAAAAATATATAAGTTATTTTAATGAATAAAATATAAATAAAAAAGGAATAAAACTACACTGAAATTTCTGCCAATCATTTCCACTAATTTAATTTCTGTCCTATAACTACTTCGACAAGGACACTGAAGGGAACATAAGGGAATTTCAGATAAACGTACTGACACGAATACGGCAGTATCCATGTTTTGGTCGTTACGTACAAAGCGTATGATTTCTTTCCAGTTAAGATCCTCATAGCAACGTCTGTCTCCAGATGTCAGCATGGTGTACAAGACGACATAGCGCCGCATTTCAGAACATTTTGTACCAGTTTGGTAGGTACTGACGTTTCGACAGCAGAGGTTGTAAAGGTTTTCCTTCTCTGGGATACAACACCGTATAGTCCGTTTAAGGTCAACTGACGTTTCGGAATAAACATGTCGCTGCCAGGATCGAAGAATAAAAAGATAAAGCTATCGCTGTAACAAGCCGTGAAGGCCCACAGGGTTGTGAGACGTCGAGGTTCCCACATTTTCTCTAGATAATCGGTTCACTGACGGCGGTGAGATTGTCAGCCTTACGCGCCGGCTGCCCTTTACCTCCAGGAAGATTCCTGGTACTTATTCCTGATAGAGGATGAATCGACCCCAGGACCACAGTACGGCTCAAAGGATCCATCTCATCGGGACTCGAACCCGCGACCTTCAGGTTTGTATCATAGTGTCTCAATCAACTACGCTACCGTGTGCCCCCAGATCGAAGAATAAGCAAAAGAAATAAACCAGGGTAAAGGAGGTAGCAGCCAGAGTCTGTTTTCTTGCTCGGCTATTCTAAGTCTCTTAATATGGTGTCGACATATTCCTCCGAAAAGTCGGGTGGACTTTCAAAGAACTACAAGGCCCTATATCCCAGAAATTAGAATTCGTTTATCAGTTAATTTCTAGGAGTTAATACATTTCTGCATGCTGGAGTATTGTGCATTATTTGATATAGGAATAAACTTCTTGGTCAGTCCCCTTTATAAATTCATCAGCTTGAAAATTAATCTCTGTTTTATTCTGAATGACTTACAATATTTCAATCAGCCCCCCCCCCCCCACACCCTGTGGGAGTAGTGCTCTGACAACCACACTTCGAATACCAGTCCCGGGGAAGGGTCGGTGTTCCTATGCCAGAACACGTGATGATTCTAATCTACGTACAAATTGAATTTATGCTAATTTGCTTCGCGCGACGGGTTACACAGCTATTATTATATACGTCAGGCCCCCTGTCATCACACACAACCCGCGGTACACAAAATACTGATAAACTAGAGATGATAACCCGCTTCATGACGTGCGGCATATGCGCACCGGACTCCCCGGCCACATTTCTGAAGAATGCCTCACGTGCATTTGCAGACAGGAAACGTTTCTCGCAGGCTGACATTGGTTTCCCACTAAAATGGTACTGGAATTATTTCCGATACGAAACGCAACGAGATAATCTGTGTAAGTCTTCCTTGACGTAAGGCCACGTCCGTGGGTGAACGCTAAAATGATGGACACGAAGTGAAGTTATGCTTCGGTCCCTTGGATTAATGTTTCGCTTCTTAATTCCGTTCATTTCCTGTCACANCCCTCTCTGCTCTAACGGTATCCTCTTCAGTCTGCTTTACCGTGTCTCACGGTGTTGTCGCTTGCAGATTTACCTATACTTTTTCTTCAACCCTGAAGATGGGGGCGATACGTTCCTCCGAAACGTCGGTTAACACCACATATACACGGCGCCAAATCCCAGAAGACTGCTTTCTTCAGACATAAAGTTGTTTGGAGCCGGGATAGCGACTAGTTACGAGCTAGACGACAGAGAGGTCCGAGTTACAGCCCCGGCAGGGTCAAGAATTTTCTCATTTCCACGTCGTCCAGACCGGCTCTGGAGTTCACACAGCCTCCTATCCAATGGGAGTTCTTTCAGCGGGAGTAAAGCAGCCAGGCCGTGGACCTTACCACTCACCTCCAACAAGTGCCTTCATGGAGTAGTGCTTAATTAGTTAAGAACAGCAACAATTTTACCTGTACTTCTACATCGAAAACAAAATAAAAATAAGACAATGGTGGAAACGCCCTTTCATTTCTGAAATACGTGTTACTGCATGAAATATTTCTTCCCATATCACGCATAGCCGTTCACAGTGGTCGCCCGCTAGAACATTTGGTTCGAATCTAACTAGAAGCATGGATGTCTGTGTTCGTTTATTCCGTGTTTGTGTTGTCCTGATTAGGTAAGGCCTCGCGACGTTCTGATCTGCCCAACAAAGGTCTGTAGATCCATAGAGAGAGACAAATATCATGCATAATTAGAAAGTATCCTGGACAATTCTTCATATCCCACTAAACGTCCATCACTTCGCTTATTAATAATTCACCTTCTTAGCGGCCTCCGTAGTCTAGGGGTAACGTTCCCACCTCATGTCCCAAGGGGACCTCTGAGCCAAATTCAGGACACTTCCCGCCCAACAGTAGTCTCTAACGCCTCTGGTAGATGGGGGAAGCATCGAGATACCGCTGAGCCAGTAGAGGCCGAACTCGCTGGCTGAGTCGGGACTGATGGCACGGACCAGTACCGGTAGGGAATAGAGACTGGTAGAATATCACAGGGGGACGCACAATGGACCAATATTTGGTCTAAGTGCATGGGGAAACCCACCCTCTCCAATAACAATAACAACAACAATTCACCTTCTTTAGATTTTTTCAAATAACAATAAACTGTCTAGGTGGTCTACAGATCTGAAAACTGAAAAGTGATCTACGCATGGGGAAGGCTGATGTCACGCTAGTGTGGGGGGGGGGAAGAGAAAAGCAATTGAATTGGACCGCGATGTAATGGGATATAGGAGACCTTGAACAAGCAAGACGGTTTCTGAATGACAAAAAAAAAATGGCTGATAATCTAGGGGTCCCACTCCGCAGATCAAGGAACACTAAACTTTATACAGACGTATATAACCCACTTGAGTCGGTGGGACGGAAAGGGTAACAATTAACTGGAAGCAGAGCTTCAGAGGGGGAAACTTTTTTCTTACTGCGTTTTTTGTCAGAAAATTTATTCCTTCCAGAAACTTAAGCACATATAAGGCTAACATCAAGAGAAAATTAATTTCCAATATTTTTTTAGGGTAGTGGGGAATGAAAATGGAAAAACTGTTATCTCCTGTCGCTCAGTTCAAAACTTTTGTGGTTTTTTTGAGTAAATTATCAGGTTAATTTTACAAAAACAGAAACAAAGTGTACTTTGTTATACACATTCGGAAACAGAGGGAAAAAGAAGAGCAAATTATAAGTTAAAAATTTCATTTTCTGCGAAAAATCTATTCAAATATATTTAAACTATTTACAAATATATTTTCTTAATAATCAAAATAATAAAGGATCAAAGATATAAGGATAAACCTGAAACGTAGAATAAACTCAAAATAAATCTTCGAGAAATAAAAAAAAAATCTTCCCATTCTGATCTATGTATTTTTCTTGCATGAGAGCATCTCATCGTTAAAGCTTTGAGAATCCGGCAGAATGCATTCTATTAGTATCTGGATATTGCGCTCCCCCCCTTTTTATATCTCTCCGTCGTAGGCTTTCGTCAATAGCAAATTTATATTTTCTCGATTAACTTTTAGTAATCTGAAGTAATCTGCCATCAAGCCATGTATGAAACCCGAAGCCGTTAGGTCCAACTCTTGGCTAACTTACTCCATGGAGCTGAACCCTTCTTGAGAAGCCGCCAATTGTGTACCTACTGTAGAACTTTCCAACAATTTTTGCAACCCGAAGGTTCATTGCCGTGTTCACAAGAGCCCTCCACTTGTCCCTATCCTGAGCCAGATCAATCCAGTCCATATCACCCCATCTAATTTCCCGAAGTTCCAAATTTTATATTATCAACCCAGCTTATTCTAGGTTTTCACATTGGTCTCGTTCCTTTTAACTTTCCCACCTAAATCCTACATACATTCCTCTTAGTCCCCAGTCGTGCTGCATGCCCTACCAATCTCATCCTCCTTGATTTGATCATTCTGATTATACTTGGCGAAATCATAACACCCATTATTAAAAAAATATAAAATACATATCTCAAGAAGACTTCTAAACAAATATTTCGTAATAAAAACGGCTTCATCTGACAACAACTAACGTGGAGAACAATATAAAAGCTAAGAGAAGACAACTAGAGCTCAAAACCATAAATATGAATTGGCTAATCGACAAAAAATCACAGCTATCTCTTGAAAACAAAATAATCCTATACAAAACGACAATCAAACCAGTTTGGACCTACGGGATAGAATTATGGGGATGCAGGGAACCTTCCGATACAAATATTCTCCAAACGTTCCAATCCAAAACACTAAGAGAACTAGTTAATGCTCCCTGGTACGTACCAAACGCTACCTTACACAATGATCTAAGCATAGCATATGTAACAGAAGTCATCAGAGCCCACGCGAAGAAACACAAAAACCGGACCACTCAAAACAACAACCAACCAATAAGAAACCTCTTAAACCAACCAGCAATAGAAAGAAGACTAAATAGAATGTGGCCAGAGGATCTCATTAGATAAGCACCAGAGAATCATTGGAGGATGCTTCAATATTACACACACCCATCCCTTTTACTAATTACTCTATTTATGTATATTGAGTAGACTGTAAAATAAAATAAACAAAAATAAAAAATAAAAAATCTGACGACAGAGATACCACTGTTATTAAATCCAAGTACGGAGAAAATCAGTGCTACATAAGACCAGCCTGTGTATTGCTCTATCACTGCAGTCTTCCAATAATCTCACGCAGCATCATTATGATTTCGTTTTGCGGGCACGTGTAGATATTAATTTCACTTACCAATTGCTAGAAGCAGATATATCCAGAAATTCTCCATCATTCCAAATGGCGCCCAGTATAATGAGCACAGCACAAGTTTAAAACTGCATCTTCCGGAAACCTGGAAAGAGGAAACAATGAAGATTCGTAAACTGAAGACTGCCCAGTCTCTGTTCTAATAATCTTACTCTCCTGAAACTGGCTCTGCCTGATTCTATGATATTGCCGAAACCGATATTGCCGAAACCAGAGCAAGCCATTCTGTCTCTTAAAGCAGGAAAGGGAAAAACAAATTCCTATATGCCTCCGTAATATCTGAGGTTTCCACGGCGGTGACTATGAAGCATGCCGTCTTCTGGGATGTGGTGCCCTGTATATTTTGTGTGAATTGACGTTTCGGAGGAACGTATCGCCTACATCTTCAGGGTAGAAAAATCCATCTCCGACTGGTGGTTTAGTCTGTAGCCACCTGCTCAAGCTGATTCCCCGCTCGCAGATTTTTATACCCTGAAGATAGAGGCGATATTTTATTCCGAAACGTCGGTTCACACATGATCTTCTTCTACAACTCCGAACGAGAACTAACAAAATGAGATCTGCTTCCTTTCATAACAAATAAACAACAAGTGTACGAGTTACAGTTTTGTGTCGCTTTCATGATCAGGGATAGGGGAAGTGGCCCCAGGACCTCCAAAAAAACAGAAATAGAGTCCACAGGTTTTACTGAGACATCTGTTTCTCTAAAATCAAGAACAGTTAATTTTTTAGTTATTTTAAAAAAATGAGAACATAGAAAATATTGCAATAACCTGAATTTGTTGTTACTGATAGGAATTACATATTTTGACCCAGGGCCCCCTCCCCAAAGAAACAGTAAATCCGGTCATGCAAGCCCACCCGATTTTGTCAAAAGTAACGCATTCCTTTCATGTTAATGAAAAGTTGAAAATTTGATATGCTGTATATTAAACACTATCATTCGCTGTTATGATAGGCAGTGTTTGCGTAAGCATAAGTGCAACACAAAGTGACCAGAAATTCGATGGTCCCCTCATACTACAGTTAAAAAGAAAATTCTCAAAACTTTCACAAAATAACAAAAAATTTCAAGACAATGTGAAGAAACCGTCACTGGTATCCTAATGCTTTGAAGATTTTATTTTATAATCCTCGTAGCAGGCTGTGGAGGCCCATAGGGTTGTGAGACGTCGAGGCTCCCACATTTTCTAGATAATCGCTCACAAATAGCGGTGGGGTTGTCAGCCTTAATCACCGGGCGACCTTTACCCCCCAGGAAGATTCCCGGTACTCATTTCTGTTAGAGGCTGAGTCGACCCCAGGGCCATAATGCGGCTGGAAGGATTAGGTCAATTGAAAAATCTAATGACCTCATCGGGAATAGAAACCGCGACCTTTCGGTTTGTAGCATAGTGCCTTAACCAACTATGCTACCGCGTGCTCCTTATATGAGTTTAACCTATTTAAATTTTTGCATAATATGTTCACAATGGTCACAATATGGGCAAAAAGAAGCAGAAATCATTTTTCAAAAGAAATTTAGAGTAGAAAGTAAAACTATCACTTTGCTTCAGTAATTAAGCACTACGCAATAAAGAGGTAAGGGGCAGTGGAGTCGTAGTTCCATCAAACTTAACTTTGACAGAAGATGGAGGCGAGTGTTCAGTTACAAGGTTCTGTCCCTTTACCCTAAGGGAAAACCCCCCGGTACCCATTATCCAGACCCAATAAACGGTATGGGCGCTATGCAGAAAAGAAAAACCCATTTGTCCTGACAGGAATCGAACTCGATTACTCAGTCATTAATCCTATAGCCTAGTCGCTGCACTGCCTGAGCTACCACGTCTCATCCCCCATAAAGGGTAGTTAAAATCAGCCGCTCGTAAAATCATTCCGCACATGGCGATACTTTGGCTCGTGTGCGCTGTATCTTCAGCTCCCTGTACAGAACAGAAACTAAGCTGACCCATGTTAAGGTCATACACCCGCTCGGCAGCCAATGCCCCATCATACAAGCTCCTGGGTTTCAGCCGCCAAGATCGGCAATAAAATACGCAAGGGAAACAAAATGGCCCAATAAAAGCCCCCAAAACACCAAAAGCTTTCTACTTTTTCTAAAAGAAGGCTTTTAATGCCGCGCTCTTTAGGACCTATAACAAGTTTATTCGTAAGAAAAGAAAAAAGAAAGGGTCATTTCCTGCCTGCAACTACCATTACTTGCACAACCCCCAAAATGTTCAACCGGGATAGCTCAGTCGGTATAGCGACTGGTTACGGGCTCCACGACCGAGGTGTCGGAGTTCGAGTCCGGGTAGGGCCAAGAATTTTTTGTCCACGTTGTCCAGACCGGCTCTGGGGCCCACCAAGCCTAATATCCAATGGGTAGCGGGGGCTCTTTCACCGGGGTTAAAGCGGCCTGGGCGTGAAGCTGACAACTCACATCCAGTTAGTGCCGCGGTCAAGAAAACGTGGATCTATAAATCCACTTCCCCATACGCCTTCATGGCGTAGCGTTTAACTACGTAAGCACAGGGACAACTTTACTTTATCCCCGAAAAGTTCGAATCTTCTTTTGTATCTGTTTGCAAGAAGTGCGAATTGTATTTATTCTCGATTGATTTAACGATGCTTCCAACTACTAAAGTTACACAGAGTAACAAGGCAGTACAAACTCCGTGGCACCTGCTCTGCTGGTTCGCTGGCGGATTTCTTCTTGTCTTCTACCCTGAAGATGGAAGGCGATGTTCCTCCGAAACGTCAGTTAACACGATTTCTACACGGCGCCACATCCCTGAAGACGACTTTCTTCATACTCATCTCCGTGAAAACTTCAAATCTTACTTACATCCGTGGTTTTAGACTGCAAGCGAACTATACCGACCGAGCGACCGCCGCTTTTCGGCGAAGTTACTGCCAACTCTAGCGGATAGAGGGTGTCGCGTGGTCAGCGCAACTGATCCCCATGGCGTTAATTTCGGTTTTCTAGACCGGAGCCGCTGTTCCCTTGAAATAATTCATCAATTATCCTCACGAGGCTGAGTCGACCCGTTTCCAGACCAACTACTTCTCAGAAAATCTGGTAGCGCTGGGAATAGAACCCGAGACCTCTGGATCTGTAGCCAGGAACTCTGACCACTAGGCCAAAGAGGCGGTCAATTAATAAACAATGAGTGGATACGTTGTAGATGGTAGAGGCCATAGCCTGATTTCAGGTGTTACCGTGGTATTTGAGAGGAGGAACTGAGTTAGCACCAAAATCGAATTATTATGTTGCTTTTGTTTTTAAGGGTAAAGGTACAGTTATCCCTGTGCTTAACTAGGTAAACACTAGTCCATGAAAGCGTATGGAGGAGTGGATGTATAGATCCACATTTTCTTGACCTCAGCACTAGCAGGAAATGGCCGCTGTCTTTATGTTGTGTTTGTCCATAATGTGATTACCATTATCCACACTGTGCTGTGACTCGACACATAAATAATAAAGACTTGAACTGAATTATTGCTGTTATTTTTGAGCCTGAAAGTACTGAAAATGGCAGATAATTTATTAAGTGCCGAAGCCCTAGCTGGACTATTTTCACCCAATTCTTTCTCAGTTCCACAAAGAACAGTGACTATAGATTATTCGCTCTTTGTACAGAACAGAAAATGGGAAAGAGAGGCAAAGCGTTACATATGTTAGACATTCAGACAGACCTGTGACTATATATACTTTGTATCTTCTGCAAATGAAGTATTATGAATGAAGAATCTCAGAAAGGAACAAATATTTCTCTCTGACTGAACAGCCAATAGCAGCACAGCACGCAGTTCAGCAACTGGATCCAGTTATTGCTTTCAAGAGGGTCTTAAATTAATTTTTAAAAGGTTTGAATAGAATCTATAGTCAAGAGGAATAATGTCATTCAGTTCAAGGAAAGAGAAAAGAAGCATAAAAGGAGAAACTGTAAGAGACCGCATAAAGAAGAGAATGAAAGATGTGAAGAGAGACAAATGTCTCCCAAATGACACAACTTTTTTAAAGGAGTTAAAACAGGAGTCCGGATGGAAATGGATGGATCTGTGTAAAGAGGATAAAAGGCGAAACTGAGTGAATTTTTCTTCTTTAACCACTTTGCATTTTCTTTCCCTTCCTTTCAGCGTATTTCCTTTACTTCGGTCTGGATTTCAAGATGTCTCGTATAACACGAATTGTGAAGAAAGCAGTCTTCTGGGATTTGGCACCGTGTATATGTGGTGTTAACCGACGTTTCGGAGTAACGTATCGCCTCCATCTTCAGGGTAGAAGAAAAAATATAAGAAATCTGCAAGCGAAGAGACCGTGAGAACCGGTAAAAGCAGACACCAGTCAGTCGACGTCTCACAACCTTATGTGCCTTCACGGCCTGTTACAGGGATTGCTTTACTTTTACTTTTCCTCTTCAAATATTTATTTCTGCTTAGAGAAACGTCGCTGGAACAACACAAATAATAATAATAATAATAATAATAATAATAAAGCTATCCGTGTAACAGGCTGTGGAGGCCCATAGGGTTGTGAGACGCCGAGGCTCCAACATTTTCTCTAGACAACTGCCTNTTAACCGACGTTTCGGAGTAACGTATCGCCTCCATCTTCAGGGTAGAAGAAAAAATATAAGAAATCTGCAAGCGAAGAGACCGTGAGAACCGGTAAAAGCAGACACCAGTCAGTCGACGTCTCACAACCTTATGTGCCTTCACGGCCTGTTACAGGGATTGCTTTACTTTTACTTTTCCTCTTCAAATATTTATTTCTGCTTAGAGAAACGTCGCTGGAACAACACAAATAATAATAATAATAATAATAATAATAATAATAAAGCTATCCGTGTAACAGGCTGTGGAGGCCCATAGGGTTGTGAGACGCCGAGGCTCCAACATTTTCTCTAGACAACTGCCTCACAGATGACGGTGAGGCTGTCAGCCTTACGCGCCGGCCGCCCTTTACTCCCCAGGAAAATTCACAGTATTCATTTCTGTTAGAGGCTCAGTCGACCCCAGGGCCATATTGCGGCTGAAATAATTAGGTAAATTGAAAACATCCACCTAATCGGGACTCGAACCTGCGACCTTCCGGTTTGT